ATGTGTGTATGTATGCATGCATGTCAGGCACAGACAGACAGACAAACAGACAGACAGACAGACAGACAGACAGACAGACAGACAGACAGACAGACAGACAGACAGACAGACAGACCGACGGACAGACAGACAGACAGACAGACAGACAGACAGACAGACAGACAGACAGACAGACAGACAGACAGATTTCGGGCTTGGAAGCTGCCAACATCAGCAACAAATGCAGGGACCGGATCCAAAAAGGAGTCCTGAGATGGATACTTGGAGGGTGGGGGACTTAGTAACTGGTTATTTTACAGACTTATAAGTACAATTAGGATTCCATTCAGGGTATCTATAACTCTACTTATTACCTACTTACTATCCCCCGACCCTCCAAGTAACGAGGGAACGAGCGCAAAGGCTCGGCCTCTGCACGGAAGAGCTCCTCCTGATCGGAGGAGTCGACTTGGAGGCAAGTTCATGGTTTGGGGTCTAGGGTCTAGTCACTAAGTTACGGCTTAGGGCTTAGGGTTTCAGGTCTAGGTTTTAGTCATTCAGCTACGGCTCAGGGTTAAGGGTTTAGGGTCTAGTTTAGGGTTTAGTCACAAAGCTACGGCTTAGGGTTTCGGGTTCAGGGTCTAGGGGTTACAAATAAAGTTACGGCTCAGGGTTTAGGGTCTAGGATTTATCCACTAAGCCACGGTTTAGGGTTTAGTGTCTAGGGTCTCGGGTTTAGTCGCTAAACTACGGTTTGGGGTCTGGAGTTCAGCGTCTGGGGTCTTGGTGTCATTTTTTGTTTGTTTGCCTGCCTGTTTCGCTTTGAATATTTCTAGTATTGCTATGACCATTATCGTTCTTGTCGTTTTGGAGTTTGGGGCTTTGGGTTTTTGGGGTAGGATCTCTTAGGGGTTATAGTAGACGTGGCTGACTGGGGGCTTAGTTTAGGGTTCTACAAGGGGGTTTGTGGGGTCCAGAAGGGTTGAAGAAGCTCCGGTAGATTCTGTTTACGACGGTGCTGCTGGGGTTGAAGGCTGTGCATTAAAGCAGCAAGATACTGAGACAGCCCTTTTGGATTTTATAGCTTTTCTTCAGGTTTTACGAACAAAACGTGTGGTTTTGCAATCTTTTTTACCATGTTCATGGGTAGTTCTAAGTGTATGGAAGTTTATGGTTTGCAGGTGCAAGGGTTTGTCGGGCGCTAAACCCTAAACCCTAAACCCTAAACCGAATTTGTGGGGTCCGGGATTTGGGGTTAGTGCTTCAGGGTTTAGGGTCGAGAGGGGTCTGGGACTTGGGATTTCGGAGCCTAAACCCTCAACCCTAAACCCTAAACCCCAAAAGCCTTAATTTCGGATATTCAGGGCACTTCGATTTGTTGGATAAGGGCCTGCGAGGGCTTTGATTTAAAGGATTCCGAGGCCTAAATATGCTGAGGCATCTGCTACCATTAAGAGAACCCCACAGCCAAAACACGTTTGGACGGTTTACGGCTTCAAGGTTCAGGGTATGTAAAGCGTTCCCGCTAACCACGCGCCGACGTCACTAACGCCGCGCGTGGTTT